GGGGGGGGGGGGACATACATGATGATGTTTCGTGCAGAACGAAGCTAAAAAGGTGAAGAAATACATATTACTACAGTAGGCAATGTAAATTAATCATATATAATTTGTTTGTCCAAAAAGCTTGCCTGCAATCCGAGTTCAATCGCTCGCCAACAGAGTTCTCCAGCTCCAAGCAAAGTTCATCCCTGAATAAATTACAACAGGTACACTGATAAGGAGAAAGTCCTCCATACGAATAAAGCATGAAAGCACTACAAGGAAAGGTACTAAATACACAGTGAATAAGAACAAATTAACCTTTTAGTCTGCCTTTTTTCAGCCTCGTTCAACTTTGGCGGTTCAACAACATGGACGACCTGTGGTTGCAAAGAATGCTGGGAGCATTCACTCATCTCGCGCGTTACCCGCGCGAGTTGGTGTCGTGACAATATTCGCGCGTAATCCATATTTGATACCCTATTTATGACCAAAACGGCTGACAGACCATATACCCTTTGGGACCGCATATACCTATAAAGCCCATATAAAGCCTGGTTCTCATACCCCCGCCGACCTAACTGCGACGTAGTCGTCGGTTGCAACTAAAAATGTTGGATGGCCCCCGGCGCATCTGCGATGGATCGATTATGATTCAAAGATAAATGTTCACATATGCCGTTACAGTGTCCCAGGTAGACTTCAGGGAGAACCCCTCCCCCGGGATATGTTGATCCACTTTCATTCATGCCCTCACGGATTAATATTTTAGTTGAAGTCTGTTGTGACCGGTCCGAACCTCCCTCTTCGTACCTCCTGGCAGGAAATTTATAGGTAGTTAGGTAGTCAGCCATTAGGCATTTTCACAAATAATGATAACTTGACTTTGTTAGCTCACGAGGGCTAAACACGCGAGAATTCCTCTCATGGCTAACCCTAAATTGAAGAAAGCTATAAGAACGAAGAATTCTATGGCACTGCTATAACTCTCCAACCTGGCTGTAATGGCGTTTTGCCATTTCGCGCTAACAAAGTCGGCTATCTTCCGGAAGGGGGTGTTCCACGAACATTTGGGTGGGGAGTGAGCGGCGCGTCGACACTTTAAAACCAAACAACGCTATTTTCCCTACTCTTTTTCATACAAATATAGTGACCGGAATATGCAAACATTTTTCAGACCAAAATGTTCAAATTCAGACCAAACTGGCTTCAAAACTACAGGTGTACCCTCACCGATAAATCCGGTCAACGAAATGTACACAAAAAAATAATTATAAAATAGCTTAAAACGGCATTCAATAGAATCTACTACCGCGGACTAGCATCCAGACCGCGCAGACTCTTCCCTTGGATGTGGTATCAGCTGCTCCTTGTCTCACAGTACCCCGGCACAGTACGTCCTACAAGGCGCATC